TCCCGATTCGCAAGGTAGCCATGGCCAAAATAAATGGCCCCTAAGTTATGAGCAATATGACACCACCACAACTGCAAAATTCCGAGTCAGTCATTTTTGATGACCACTTATCCTTTAGGGTCGTCGAGGCAGGTACAACTAACACTGTCTCCGACGTTCACGATCCGACACTAGCGTTTGAGTTTAGACATAAGATGACACGGGTCTTCTGGAACATTAGATATACCGTTCCCGGGTCATGGGGATATCAGCTGGCCAAGTAGCAGCTGGTCCTTCGTTCTTTCTGGAAAGCATTCGCAAGACGTGCCCAAAACTATCGCAACTCTGATGTCTTAACACTGAGTATACCAAGGATCTCTAGGATATCTGTTTTCGGCACCGTGCCGAGACGCGCCAGTCGAGATATTAGTCTCAGAAAGTCATTTCAGCCGCTTGCACCCGGGATCGAAGTTTTACAGCCATGGTTTACGAATCATAACCAGGCATGAGCAACGAAATGAAGATGGGCTTGAACACCGAGGAGTTAGTCTTCAGGACTCGGCTTTGCTTTAGTCACAACGGCTCGGGCGAGTTCATGCAAAACGCCACTGGCTGTTCCAATTCGCCGGTCGACCTCTTCCTCCACTGCTTCTCCGTTAATCTGAAGAGTGCAACGGATAGGAGAACAACAAAGCATAAGGTTTCTCATTTTAGGTTTCGTCACACTCACACCGGTCACGCAACACTCAGCAGCGAACGATATAGATCACTTTCAGAAGGTGCCAACATAACAAGGTCGTCTGCAAGCAGCAGCCTTCCCTTCTCGTCTCGACATCTCCTACACAAATACACTCATCACCTTGGCTTAGCCTGTCTCTTCTACCCATGGGCAAAACAAACAGGAGAGGGAGCAGAACGTAGTCTTGGTTGAGACCAGCGTTAACGCCGAAAGGCTTCGACCTAACGTCATTTACTCTGATGCAGAACCTGCAATCAGTATTCAGTCATTGGATGGCCCGGAACAACTGTAAATTGATTTCATATGCTCGCAGGCATGGCCATAGATTGTTGCGGGGATCCGATTACAGGCTTTCTCCAGGTACAAAGAGCATATGGTAACCGGATGAGCGAACCGCTGCCATTTCTCAACAATTTTCACGTTAAGGAGAAGATCTGTTCAGCGGTGTTTCAACCTGACCTGAAGCCACACTGCTCATCTTATCATTGAAAATCAGTTATTCTGCGGCAACGCCTCTCTAACACCTTTACGTGGACCTTTCCCGTTAGGCTCAATAAGGTAATATCCCGGTAATACTCCCTATGATCGCTCTCTTTGAACAGTGGTACTACAACCCCTCCCCACCGTTCTCCAGTCTGTTGATGGTGGCAAAAATTGTATGCTAATAAAAGTTGCGATTTTAAACGATCTTTTCAGGTGATTGTTGCTGGACGACAAAGCCGGATAGATTGATAAAATTAAGAAGCCTGCAAAATTATAACTGAACCTATGATTGTCTCAGTGGCTGAAACTGTGTTTGTTTAAATATCAGAGTACATACACTTTTACTGAAGCCTGCAGCAAGCAAAATGAAAGTGTACCAAGATTCAGTGTTAATGAAGAAAAGAGTGGCTTCTCTGAATGCCAGATTGCCTTTCGACAAGGTGGATGCAGATTCTTCTACTAAGATCCTACCAGACATCTTAGAAATGCAGAAAACGAATGAAGAACATTGAAAGGGTGTTCGTACAGTATTGTAATATGGACATTATTGCATTTTTTCAGTCATGACTTGAATTCATTTTAAGAATGTTTATCATTAAGCCTATGGCGTGTCAAGGGACTCACAAGTGCTGCCCTAGGTATTTATATTACCTTGAGATTAATGTCCGGATGACAAGCCCTATTCAGTTTCGGACTTTGCCTTATGTCAGGTTGTTGTGCCATTTCATCTTGTACCTAACGGTTATCACCTTACAGAATCCATGTCACTAATTAAAGAATAGGACCAAACGGCAATCTATAGTTAACGAGGAAGGATCCTCAGGAGAAGTACTTTCATTTACGGCCCAGTTTCAAATCAGACATGTACTTCACAATATCATTTAACGTAAGAAACGCATTCCAACCGATATGACCAAGTCAGCACGTGCTCACTGCGGACATCTTCAGCACTATCGTGAAGAACGTGTGTCAACCATGATTGTAAACAACATGATAACATCTTGGAACGCGGGAAAATCCCTTTCAAATCGTGTTCTGAAGCAAGGGTTATTTCGCCAAAATAATCACTAGAGTTGTACCCAGTACCGATTTAATATACCCATTCCCTGAAAAGTCGATCTGTAATGTGTGGGTCATAGGTAGTAAACACATATTTATGATGGGTATATTGGTTGTTTGGGCATATGGCCGGTGTTTGGGTAATAAAGAGGGTGAATATGAGGTGAAACTCAATAAGATGGCTGCACATATTCTAGCATATAAAGAACACGGGTGAATGTCCAACCTTTTCCTCCTAAACTAGGTTGTCAGTAATCTGACGTGACCCAACAACCGCGTTATGAATGAACACCGTTAGAGTTTTGCTACAGAAAAGTTACAATCGGGATCAATGATTCATGGCAGCTGGAACATATGCCGGTTAGGATTTCCTTTCCTCCATCACCACAAGTAAAAGGGCTTGATACTGTATAATATTTTATTTCTTATATGTTCCCTGATAACATCGCTGGTTAAATCAAGTGGTGCATTTTCCGAAGAAGTTTCAAGTGGAGTTGGCCATAAGTTTGATAACCTTGTAAAATTGTCACTGGATAACATCGTTCCTCACGATGCTGTGCTTTGCTAGTGCTAAACCTTTGCAATACATTCAACTTATGCAGCCCATTTTTTCGTATCCAGTTGTACGAAAAATGTGTCGTCAGAGATGCGATCGAGGTGGAACACCATCTCAGGTGTATTTTGCTGTGACAGGATCCGTTTCTTACATGAAAGATCCTTTAGCTTCTGAACGAAAAGTTGTTTTAAATCGGTATTTGCTTATGACCATTGTAGGCTTTCACTCGATCACTCTAAAAAAGAAATCCTCAAAAAAGGGAAGATTATGGAAACCATTATGGCGCGAAAAACCTCTGCAAAAGATGAACAGATTGCAAGAAATGTAAACTGTTAACTCATCTTTCATATTGTTGT